GCTGCATGGCCAATGTTCGTACAATACGGGCATCGCCAAACCCAAAAGCAAGAACGATAGCCTGTGTGTTTCCCAGTAGTAGAGGGAAACCAGCCGCACGCCCTGATGATCAACCCTAAATGCACTCCTACAAGGAGCCTTAAGGCAATCCTACAAGGACTCCATGACGCACTCGCAAAACCGCAGCGAAAACTCAAAAAGGGCATAGTTCAACAAACCGAAGAAGAGACTCAAACATCTCCCCGACACCTGCGCTGTCGCTGGCCGGGGCAGTCCAAAAACACAAAGCACCCCCTGGGATTTCCTGAGCTCTATGATGGTTTCGGCTTTAGGGCATATTACTTTGCACTAGTCATCAGTTGCAATCTTATTCTGATTGTTGGAATGCTATTTATTTCTGCTATCTGACTCAATATTTATTTGCTATTGATCAGACAGGGTGTTTCTGTTTTAGCCAAAGGAGCCAGAGAGCTGTTCTTGTGCCGGGAATTGCTACTGTTGTCCTAAGCCTATCTGGGCCAGACAAGGCGTTTTGGGACAGCCGATGGGCAAAACAATGTGCTTTTGGGGCTGTCAGAAAAAGCATGTTTGCTGCACGCCAGCAAAACGAGCCTATCTGAGTCAGATAGGGTGTTTTCGGGTCCCGAAGCCAAAACCACTGCCTATCCGTGCTAAATACGGTGCTTCGGGGGCAAAAGAGCCGACTGAGTCAGATAGGCTGTTTGGGGCCCAAAGAGCAGGGTGTTCTTGGCGCGCCGAGAAGTGCTTTTAGTGGCCTAAACCTATCTGGGACAGGGCGTTTTGGGCAGTAGCCCACAAAGCAAAACCAGCATCTGCATATGATATGTATCTGAGTCAGATAGGGTTTTCGGGGTCCCAAAAGCAGAAACAACGGTCTATCTGTGCGAAATGGGTGCTTCGGGGATGCCGAAAAGGCCTAAGTACCAGGTAAAGGAGCCTATCTGAGTCAGACAACCTGTTTTTTGGGGGTCAAATCAGCGGATAGGGTGTTTTCGGTGTCCCAAAACCCAAAACGGCCTATCTGTGCTAAATAGGGTGCTGTTTTGGGGATGCCCAATCAGCAAAAGGATCTTATCTGAGTCAGATAGGAGGTTTTTGATGTCCCCTATCTCGTTTGCGGTTTTCGTTGAGTCCCGAGTAACACAGCACAAGGACGCCGCTAATTTGGCTTAATTTGGGACGACTGCGTGTTGCCTACAGTACTGTTGTTGGTACGACTTCTGATTGTTGTATTATTACGCTTTGGGCTACTGTGTACGGCTTGGTGTATCTCCTTTCCGGAGTTGCGGGGTGGTTGGTGTTTTGTGGCTGAAGCGGCACGGTTTCGTGAACAATATAAGAAACAGTAGTCGCTAGTAATGTTATGCCTTACGATTCCGGGTTACGTGTCGAGTATAATGTATCCCGAAACCCTATGGGTCGTGAGGGTCTAGTATAGGTTTTTGAGTTGAAGGTGCAGGGCTTCAGTTGGGATAGTTCGGGGGCTCAAGGTGCTAGGCTCAGTTGACTTCTGGTTCATGTTTTTCATTATTGAGAATTTAGAGCTTCATGAGGCTCATTTAATTTCAGATGTTGATTGTTGTGGGGCTGGAGACTGGCAACTTCAAGGCTTAAGGTGGTTGATGGTTTGAAGCTTTCGGAAGAAATCGTTGACCTCGAGCCAACCCGAAGCCTAATCGTTTAGCTTTCGCGCGCCCCTTGACGAAATCCCAGCTGCTCCTGCGTGGAGAGTTGGTCGAAAAGCACATTAGAGAGCACGGCGAAACCAGGCGCCACGTCCTGGTGGCCGGTGTCGGCCTTGAGACACTGTGGCTTTACAGTTTGCGAGTCTTGGATCGTCGTCTTTCAGCTTTATGGCGTCTGTTGCTGGAGGTACTGTTGCCCTGACTTCCACCATCACCACAAAATTAGGCAGCTGTTTAATATTCACAGTAGAGCCCGTCTACTTATAGAACAGCCCACGAGCAGGTCTCCGAATTTGACTTACGGCCGGCCTAGTGACGAGACCATGGTTCAACCGAACAGGCAGTGTTGATCGAATATGCAGCAGAAACCTCCTGCCTAAGCCACATCCTTCTGAAATCCCTGTGCAAAACAAGCCAATGCACCCATTTTCAACTTGCTTCTGAACCCAATCTTGTTGTACTGTAATGTTTGTGAGCCCTTTCAAAACACAAAGCATCCTTTGAAAATGCAATCCCATGCGAAACCTTTTTGGCCCAATCCCTGCAACAGCCAACATACCCTGCACGAAGAGCCTCCGTCGTTTTTTACAGAGTGCTGTTGCAACACATCGCTAGATCAACCCCCTCTTTTGCTTCGCATGAGCGTCAGCTTCTGGCCCTCCTTTGTGCAGCTCAAGTTGCCGAGAGGCCTCCTCCCCAGGCCAAGGGAGGGGCCGGACTTCGGAGCCCGGCCTCGCTCTCGGAGAGAACGGCCTCCACAATCTCCTTGAAAAACCGACGCTGCAAAATCGACAGAACCCTCCACGCTGACGCTGTCTTTGATCCAACCTGGGTTAAGTCATTTCCGCTTTCGCATGCGCGGGCATGTGGCATTTCCGACGAATGCTGCACAAGTTGTCGTAGCTCAGGCTCAAGGTCAACCGTAATTCTGAACCAACAAGACGTTGCTGTTGACATAGCTGTCGCCACTACCGCTTCGACTATCATTGCCGTTCTGAAGATCGCCAAGTTCTAAGCACAACCGATTTCATTGTTGCGGGTCCTGCTTTTGGTGATTCTGCTCACACCCAGAGAATCCGATGCATGGTGACCTTGAATTCGTCCCCCCAAACCCCCCTAGTCGCCCCCAACCTTGAAGCCCGAAGCCCTAGAACCAATATTGCACGTGGGTCTCCTGAAGGCCACCGTCTTGGTCGTAGCGGCTTTGGCGTACGACGACCGTCCGTGGGCGCATGCGCCTTGGTGATGTGCGACCCTCAACGAACCTGAACTCCAAAATACGAACCATGAAACACTGAAGTCCTAAAAGCATAACGTACTACCCTCAAGCCCCACCGCAAGGCCGCAAGGAACCTTGAAACGCCACACCCTACCGAAAACAATACCTTAGATCTCTGCAACCCAAAAGCGACCAAACTCCAATTCATGTGCAGAAACCCAGCACTTGCCTTGAAGGCTTCCGGATTTGCGGGGTATTTTGTGCGTGTGCACTTTGGAGCTGATCCTGCAAAAAAGGGAACAGAAATAAGAGCTCCAAACATCATCAACAACGAATGACGATTTTAACTGCCGGCTGCCAGATGCTTCTGGCGAAAATCAGTCGAATGCTCAAGATCCCTTCTCTACCGAAGCCCCGAGCTGCTGAAAATGACGTTTTTTGCTGGCGCCCAAACATGCAGCTTGAACCAATGATGTAGACTGATTGTTATGCCCATGACCACGAAAACATGTACCACTATATGCAAAAACAAACATCCCACAACGCAGGCTTGCACAGCAGAACCATTTCATTGACAACGATGTCGTCTTTCTGATGACCCGTTCCTCGCTGGGAGTGCTGACGTTCAGTCTCTTGCTGGACGTGGTCTTCTGATATGCTCTGACCCCTCCTTTGTTTTTCGGTATTCTGGGAGGTTTGTTGCTTGTGCTGCAATGAGCTGCTAATGGTGCTGCTCTTACAAGCTCCACGTATTGGCCCGAATGGAACGATTCTGAACTTGCAGCAGTAGGTCGCGCAGGCAAGCAATCGACGCACGTAACTGCAGAAAAATGCACTAGCTTCAACATGGCAAACACACAGTGGCTTGAAATTGTCGGCTGCTTTGCAACAAATGACGGATGTATGTCTGCAGCTGCTTAAAGTTACAAACATGCAAATTCCACGTGTAGTGTTTCTAGCTCCCAAGAGGCCATACGCCTACAAAACACAATGTTGGCATGAAAACAAGACACGCACAAGATGCTCGATAAACTACATGACCGGGGTGCTGAGGATTGCCAAATCAGGCGAGAGGGCACAGCACAGATGGGGGACAGGGTCGGAGACACGGGACTCAGAAGGAGAGGAGGGCGGACAGGGTACCGGTGGCGGTGGGTTATGTAGGACAAAGGAATGGGCACGGGAAGATCTTCGTGATAGGATCCGCGCTCGCGCAGAGAAAGGAGAGGCAGGGACTCCTCCATTTCCTGGCCTCGTCCGCAAAATCACTGGTGGGAGCGGCATCCGAATAGAAAAAGTCCATCAACAGCACAACTGGCAGCACAGGAACTGCAGCATAGAAAGAGACACCATACGCGGACCTGTCCAGCAAACAGCTGATTTCCAACCAAAAGGTGCAAACTTCGGAGTTAGGATCACTTTGGATGCGTTCCTGGAACCGAGCGCTGGTTTGTTTGCGAGCGCAGCCAGCTTGTGACATGCCAGATGCCTGACACTGTGTGCAAGTTGTATGATCGGTCCGTATGCATGCATGTACCTGCACGTGTGTATGTGTACTATGTATCTTCATATGATTGTGCATTTCTGCATACATATATATATATATATATATGTATGTATGTATGTATGTATGTAGGGTTGTGGATCGAGCGCATGCAAGAGCGCATTGCCACGGCCCCTTAGTGCTGAGAGCACATCGAGCCATTACTGGATCTCCCAGCTGGCACCGCCGAGCTCGAGCAAGACGGCATCGAGCACGGCTCCGCGTCCACAGGGCCCGGCTATTGGACCTGCCCCCGCCTGCAAGCTCGCTGCT